ATTGAGTAAACAATATGTTAAAAGTAATGCAAGTTCAATTTTTCACAACACATGGATTGAGACAGTATCAATGACAGGTTCAAAAACAAATAAGCCAACAAACAAATAAAATTACTGGTTAAATTAAGGCAAACATGTGGTATCTAACCTTTTGGGATTCGCTCATTTCCCTTAGCATTATAGTTTCCAGTTGGGCCCATTTAGCCACAAAGAACTGCAATTTGTTTTTTTTTTTAATAGCTGAGTAGTATTCCATGGAGTAGATGAACCAAAGTTTTCTTATCCAATCTTCTGTTGATGGGCATTTCGGTTGCTTCCATGTTCTGGCAATTACTGATTGTGCTGCTATGAACATAGGGGTGCATGTTGGTTTGTCATGAAACAGGTGTTTTGGATATATTCCTAGGAGTGCTATTGCTGGATCATATGGTATGCTGATTTTGAGTTGTTTAAGTGTTCTCCATACTGATTTCCATAAAGGCTGTACCAACCTGCATTCCCACCAGCAGTGGAGTAGGGTTCCCTTTTCCCCACATCCTCGCCAACAAGTGTCGTTGGTGTTCTTTTTTATGTGGGCGAGCTCCCTGGCAATAAGGGAAATCCAAATTAAGACATCGATGAGGTACCACCTAACACCAGTAAGATCGGCCCACATAAAAAAGAAATATGGTATTTTCATATTTTTCTTCTATTTTTCAAAGAATATAATATCTTCATAAAACCAGTAAGAAGAATTTTTGAGGACATGAGGTTTGAATCATAAACCTGGAAATAAGATCTCCCACAATTTTGTGAATCTTCTAAGATTTTGTCTATTTTTATTGGAAAGTCAGAGATAAAGAGGGAAGGAGAGACAAAGAGGAAGATCTCTCCGCCGATCCACTCCCCAAGTGGCCGCAATGGCCAGACCTGCGCCGATCCAAAGCCAAAGCTGCGCTGATCCGAAGCCAGGAGCCAGGAGCTTCTTCCAGGTCTCCCACACGGGTGCAGGGTCCCAAGGCTTTGGGCCATCCTCCACTGCTTTCCCAGGCTATAAGCAGTGAGCTGAATCGGAAATGGGGATGCTGGGATACGAACCAGCACCTGTATGGGATCCTGGTGTCCAAAACAAGGACTTCAGCTGCTTGCCCATCATACTGGGCCAATTCTGTGAATCTTGTTTCTGTGAAATAAGGTCATACGTTTAAAGCATTGTTTGATTACATTTTTGACCAAGATGTGACTACTTTCCCAATTGCTACCTGCATAATCTACTCTATACCTATCCATTCAAAACTACTATCAAGTGCTGACAGGTGTCTTTTTCATTCCTTCCTTGTGGCCTAGCACTTCCATAACAGCAATAGACCTTAATATTTCACCTGCCCCTGATTTATATATTATTATGGGGAAAGCTTTTTTTCATGATAGAGTAAGACATCTAATTTCTAACGATTCTCAAAACCATCAGTCTCCGGTCTTAACGCTACACCTTTCAATTCTAATCTCACCAATGTCTCAAAAGCACAAGGAAGTAGGAACCTTAGATGAATACTCAAGGAAGAAAGACAATCAGCACAAGCCAACTCTGAAATAATCCCAAACGTTGAAATCACCAGATAAAAACTCTGAAGTGGCTCCTATTATAGAAAAAGAAAGATGCCCAGGGAAAAATGGGTGAACATGAAAAATAATGAGCAAAAGGTATCCTTTGGAAGAGCAGAGTAAAAAAACTGAAAAAAATTGAACAAAAGTTTTGGGACAATATCGAAAGATCTAACACTTGTCTGACGGGAGTCTAAGGCTCCAATAAGAGTTTTAAATGGAGACAAGAAATAAAGACAACCATTCAAAGAAAAAGTGATCAATGACTCTCAAATGTAGTCTGAAGTTTACCTATCTAGTAAATTCAGAGAAACACACATAGGACAAACTCAAATCCCCAAACAGAAAACCATACTCAGAAAATTAAGCAAACTGCTGAAAAAAACCTTTCAACCACGTCTTACTTTAGGGAATCTTTGTGACTTTTGCCAGGTACCTAAATGGGGGCATTCTTACAGGATGAGTCCTTAACCCAGTATTTGATGCTAATTCTGTATAGAGAGCATCAGAATTGTCCCTTTGGACACAACGCCGGCATGAGGAGAGTTGATGGATATTATTATAGATGTGTTGTTATTTCATTACCAAAAAACCCATCTCTGTTACTCGTGATATTTCAATTTTATTTCACTTCAAAGGTAAAGGATCACAGATACCCATGGTGCATGTTTGGATGGGGGTGGTGGAGTCAGCAAGGAGAGAAAAGCTGGGAGAGAGGGAAGTGCTACGACCTCCTGCTCTGTGTCTGCAGGAAAAGACAGACTGCCCCCCTGTGTTGCCAGTCCTCACGTGATCTTGGGAAGAGGCGTGACTTCATGATATCATCCCATGTCACCAGTGAAGGAAGGTACATCGTGGGGCATGGGTCATTTGGTTGATAGAAAGGCAAGTGAGATTACAAAAAGCAGAGGGGGTGTGGCTTCCACCTTCAGACTCTAAGATGGCTAGCGACCTACGTGTCCTAGTTTACTGCCCTCGCAGAGATTTCTGACTCTTCATCTTAGGGTTGCTGAAGGATGCAGATGCACCACATCTCCTGCAGTTACTTGCTGATGGTAAGAGGCATAAGGCTCAACTTTCCCGGGTTTGGAACTCCGCCTTTCATCTAACAGATCCCTCTCGTGAGCCAGAGAGCTTCCATTCAGTCCAATGGCTCTGTCCCCTGCATCTTCATCATTACTCTGACATGTTGTTGCCTTTATGCAGGATTTAGCAACCCAGGTGGTGTAATCATGCAATGTAAGTGCCAAGTTCGGAGCACACATCCTTGGCTTTGGTCCCTGGGATTAGAGATCCTGACAGGAATCATGGATGGACTGTTTGCCAAGGCCAAAAGCACAGGTGGTCCTTCCCCAACAGCGGGTGCAGGGGCATAGCCCAGGGCAGCTCACCTGTCCAGCCCACATCTGGATCTCAGGCATGCCAGGGGGTACAACGGTCTGGCCCCAACTGGCTTCTAGGGTCCCCTACCCAGTACACCCCAGCCCCAGGTCTCATGTGCACCAGCAGGTGCAGTGGTCTTGTCCCGGGAGACCTGTGGAATTTGTCAGAGTTTTAAATATTCTTGTGTTAGGTACTGAGAACAAAAATCAAATACAGATTTATTATATCACACTTTCACAATGCAATATGCTATAGATATTGGCTCTCTCTCTATATAAAAAAATCTCATCGAATTCAAGTCTTCCTCCACAGGCACACAAGATATAAAAATTTCAATACAAGGCCTCCTCCACTGGTACCCTTAGTGTTATGCATTTCTGACTGAAATAACCTCCTACTCTCCAGCACCACACCTACATTACAGAGAATTAAGAGAATGAACAAAGATGGGGGTGGCATGTCATTACCCTAGTTCAGTGGTCAATATTACCAAGAGTAAACCAACGAGTTAGTAGATCTACTCATGTGATATAATATATTCCTCTTGAATATGATCAACATGACCTAGGTTGCATTGGTAATAAATCTATAATGAGTGACTAGCTTTGTGTCCCAGGTCAAGCCATGCTTGCAAAGCCATCACCCCACACGGGAGCATCAGTTCAAGTCCTAGCTGCCACACTTCTGATCCAGCTCCCTGTACGTATCTGGAAAACAATACAGGCTAGTCCAGTTTCCTGGGTCTCTGGGTTGGACCTGCTTGTTTCAGCCCTCACAGCTGTCACAAGGTTTCTGCTTGTTGCTAGAAGGCCGGGTATTATCACTGATCTCCAAAGTTAGTGTCATTAAAACCTGAACAGTGGGCTTGATCAAAAGAGACTTAATATAATTCCAATGAAATGCAAGGTATCATTCACAGTTGTCATAGTCATTTGGGGGTCAGTTCAGGAAATCTGAATATGATCTACGGATTAGATGAAAATATGCTGAAAAGAAAAATGCAGATCACCAAATGAAAAAACAACAGCTTGTAAGCCAGTATTTACAGTATACTTACTAGGTTACACTGAACACACTTGAAGAGACCCAGTTAAGATGCTAACAGCACTGTGCCAAAGAGTTAAGGACACTGTAGTAGAAAGATAATGTCGGACATTTTACCATTTTTGTCTAAATTTTCTCATATTCTTTAATGTATAGCTATGACTTTTGTAGTATTAAATGGTTACTTCTTAAAAGGAATCAGTGCATATGTTTCAATAGGGTAGTTGCGCAACATTTGCATTCCTGGGCAGAAACTTGAATTTCAAAGGGATGCACAAGAAAGCTTTCAATCCAAAGGAGTCCAAGGTTATTCTGCCTTGGTAAGAAACAACACTTTGGATAGTTTCGCAACTGGATTATTTATTTTCTTTTTCTTTCTTTCTTCTTTCTTACTTTCTTACTTTCTTTCTTTTCTTTCTTCCTTTCTTTCTTTTTTTGAAAGGCAAAAGACAAGAGGTCTTCTCTCTTCTCTCCATTCTCATAACATGTCCAACAGTCAAGGCTGGGTCATGCCAATACCAGGAGCCAGGAATTTAATTCTGGTTTCCTATATGACTGTTGAGAACTCAAGCACTTGAGCCATCCTTTATCTCTTACCTTCCAGAATGGACCTTAACAGCAAGCTGCATTTGAGAGTACTGCCGGGGCTTAAACGCAGGCATTCCAATATAGGGTGCAGGTAAACCAAGGGGCGTCTTAACTGCTGTGCCAAACACCCCCCACAAGCAGATTTAAATACAGATGAAAAGCATAGAAATGTGCCGTTCAATATGGCAGCCCCAACCACAGGTGCTCACTCCAATCAATTAAAACACAATAATGTTGACAATTCTTTTCCTTAATCAAACTAATCATTCTCCAAGTGTTCAGCAGCCAAGCTTGGTTAGCACCTTTATTAATTACACAGCTAGACATCAGCCACATGGTTAAACATGCCGCATTGTAAACCATGGCCATGGAGCATTCTCAGGATCATAGAAAGATCCTACCGGATAGAGCCCCAGGGCAGGACGTGGGAATGTCTCCGCACGATGACCATGGACGTACCGCTCAGGACACTGCTCCCGCCCATCCCTGCACCTCTGACTCTGGTTGTCAGAACCTATTTCCACTAGATTCCTGAGGAAGGTACGTCAACACAAAATGTCTTCCACCTGCATGATCAGTCCTGTGTATCTGACCTAGAGATGACGTCACCTCTCCTGCAGAGGGCTGATCTTTCATGTCCTTAACAAAACAAGTAAAGGTGCGCCTCACTTCTAATCAAAGCTTGAGCAAGTTTATAAACAATGCAGGTTTCCCAATAAACAAACTCAGGGCTCCTCAGCAGTAACAGGAATCCGCTTTGGGTCAAGCATTCCCAGGGATCCACCTTCATATCACCCTAGGTACCTGGGAGGCAGAGCGCTAACGTGAGTCCTGAGCCCTCTGCTAGGCTAACCCAATAACTTCACATTGGGTAAAGCATAGACCCTCCACGATTTGTGACAGTTAACACTTCCACCCCATTCCGCTGAGACCCTATGTCACAGAAGCACAGAAGCACAGCCTATCGGGGCTACTGATCCCTAGTAGCAAAGGGGACCGCAGTTACTGCCCCACAAAGGAAGCAAGGAGAACGCAGTCTGGACCCCAAGGGAACCTTTATAGTATCTCTTAGTTTTCTTCCATACAATATTGAAAGTGAAGATGACAGGAGGGGCCAGTACTGGCTCAAAGTCTTCCATGACAAACTGAAATCCCCCACATGCTGAAATCCACCATCACATTATGTATTGACAGAACACAAAAGGAAACGCTGACTAGTGGAGGGGAGAAACCTTAGATACTGTGAGAGGGTGAGCAAGTAAAACATGAAAGCTGATATATCCATTCTTATTATTATTTCCCTCTCTTCTGCTCCAGTTCTTTTTCAAGGAGGAGAATAACAGCACCCTCCCTGAAACAAGGAATGGCTACAGCAGGATAGGCAGACGCAAATGTGGTGTTCATCTTATTGCATGGAAACACGAACAAAGGTGGAAGGATGCATGCAAGCGTTGAGTCTGTTCACAGTTTGTCATGCATCTGTCTTCTAAGCGGAAGTCAGACTCCCCAAACACCCTATTTCTTAGATTCCTTTGTCTAAAGAGTCGATTTCAGATTCCACCAAGGAGAGGCATCTGGTTAAGATCTGCAAGGCAAAATCTGAGAAACCATTATCCCTAATAACCTGGCTGCAGCTGAAAGACCCAGGGATAAACAACAGACTTCAAGTTTGTAGCAGCTTCCATGCGAGCTACCGGAAAACAAAACAAAACAAACAAAAAAAAAAAAACTCATCTTTAACTTTGAAAACAGGATCCAACCAAGACATTTGAATCTAGATATTTTTTTATTTTTTTTAATGCCAAAGCAGTTTTCATGACCTTCCCTGCACCTTCACTGAGTAAGTGAATACTCATTCACCTTATGAAAGTGGTTCTTTCTACAATGTCCAGAATACTTTCTGCTTTCCTAACACGCGTGAATACTTTGGTCATGTGATGTTAAAATGGGGAAGAGAGAAGAACATTAGCATGAGCTGGAGGGCGGGCGGGGGAAATCCTTTCCTCTGTGCAAACCAGGATAAGCTGCAGCACGTCATGTATGAATGCTGTAACAGAAGGAGCAGGAGATGTGGCACAACAGCTTGAGTTCCTGCCTGTGGTGCCAACATCCCAACGTCACAGCATCAGCTCGAATCCTAGCTGCTCTGCTTCCAATTTAGCTCCCATCTAATGTGCCCGGATAGCAGTGGAGGATGGCCCAAGTACCTGGGTCTGTGCCGCCTAGGTGGGAGACGTGGAGAGTTCTGAGCCCCTGGCCTTGGCTAGGTCAGTCCTAGCCAGTGTGGATTTCTGGAGAGAGAACCAGCTGCTAGAAGAGTTCTCATTCATACCCTGCCTTTCAAGTAAATAAAACAAACCTTTCCTGGGTCCGGCGGCGTGGCCTAGCGGCTAAAGTCCTCTCCTTGAACATGCCGGGATCCCATATGAGCGCCGGTTCTAATCCCGCCAGCTCCACTTCCCATCCAGCTCCCTGCTTGTGGCCCGGGAAAGCAGTTGAGGATGGCCCAAAGCTTTGGGACCCTGCACCTGTGTGGGAGGCCTGGAAGAGGTTCCTGGATCCTGGCTTCGGATCGGTATAGCACCGGCTGTTGCACTCACTTGGGGAGTGAATCATCGGATGGAAGATCTTCCTCTCTGTCTCTCCTCCTCTCTGTATATCTGACTTTCTAATAAATAAATAAATCTTGGGGGAAAAAAAAACTTACTTAAAAAAAAATAAAAAATAAAACAAACCTTTCAAAGCACAAGAAAGAAAATAAAGCTCCACAAATGGATTAAAATCCAACTAAGCACAATTCTTTCTTGAGTTCAAGAGTTTATTCCGGTCATCTGCACAAACATTTATTAAGCAATTACTACACACTAAATTCTACTCGTAGTACTGGAATAACAACAAATACTTTTAGGTTGGGCAGTGAAGAATGAGGGGGGAAGAGAAAAACATTAAACAAAGTTGGCGATCAGTACCGTGGAGAGCAGCCAATGTTGTGGTGAGGGGCTGGCGTTGTGGCGAGGGGCTGGCGTAGTAGTGGCACTTAGCACAGCCACATCCCCAGTGGGTGGTGGTAGGGTGTGGTCTCTTTCCTTTGCACTAATAATACCAGGTCATGCAAGGTCCAAAGGCACACTGGTGCCCGGACATGGCACGTGGCAGAAGGAAATGCTACAGTACTTCAACCCACGGAGCCCCCAGAAGGAGTGAGGCCAAGGGAGCCTGCTACTGCTACTTTGGCCTCCCAGCTCCATTACTGTAACTTTCAGCAAAGTAGGAGACTTTGTAAGGCCCTTTCTGCTGGCTACCCGGGAGGGCAGCAAAGGGGAGCTGGATAGGAAAGCAGGTTCCAGGCCCAGGAGCAGGCACTGAGGAAGGAGAAGCTGGGCAGTGGATTCCACGCCTGTTTTCTTCCCCTCTCTTCCCCGGATACTTCCTTTTGCTATAGCCCAACCAGGTGTAAGGGAGACCCAAAGTGACTTGTAAGAGTGGGTACCTGGTCCTGGGGTGCTCACACCAGGCAGTGGGAGAGACGCAAACATGGATTGAAGCAGGGAAGCATCTGGCAGCAGGTTATAGCCGAAGGAGCACAGCAGTGAGCCCATGACACAGGCACCTGCAGTTGCGCCTCCCGGAGGTACCAGGGAACAATGCGCTTTTCCACCTCTTCCACCACCTCCACCCTGGCTTAATACCTGTTGCTAACCTGAGGTTTTAGTTCCACAGGCTGCAGCCAGAGGAGCTGCAGGTTCCCCAACACCTGCCCAGAAGCATCCATGGAGAGGGAGAGCAGGGCTCCCGCGCTGTCACAGGACGCACTCCCACCTGCAGTACTGCTCCTAAGGAACAAGGCTCCTCTATCGCCCCCGCAGACTGATGGAGAGCCAAACTCCTTCAGGACAGGTTTGACCCACGCCGGTGTGTCCAAGGAACCCCGAGTGAGACAAGGAAAGTCAGCAGCCAGCCCTGGTGTGCAACACTTTACTCTCAAGGTTACCACGACGCGGCAGGGAGAGAGGCGCCACATGGAGCCCCCACTGCCCCGATCTCCCACCTGGCCAGTTAAGAGCAGACAAGCACCCAACTGCAGGGTTTAGCAGGAAAATGGTAGTACCAGATCCCTCTCCGGGAGCGCAAGGTGCCCTACGCACTGTGGGTACATCTGTGTGTGTGGCAAGGATGCTGACAGAGACGTGGGCTGTGTTTCCAGCGCTGGGGACTCCACAGCCAGGGGACCCATGACCCCATTCCCACTGTCTCCTGCACCAGCCTCGCCAGCATCCAAAGAAAAGAAGTAGTACAGAACCCATCACCACAAACTCGGATCAAGAGGCTGCACTGCGGCCCTCGCCCTCAGTGTCACCATGTTTCAGATGACCATGACCCCAACCACGTGGATTAGTCACTCCACAGGAACTCGGCTCCACCAATGGGCAGCCTGACCTAGCTCAGCAGTGGCCCGCCCACCTGTTCTCCTCCTGACCACGGGCAGCTCTACGAAGCGTGGCACCAGGCTAACCACAGTAATGAGAATCGCGGGGTCACCAGGTATGCGCCACCATGCTTATGGTGCACCCCGCGCTGGCAGGCACCCCACGTCTCACCCTGAGTTTATGCAGCTAGAGCACAAGCAGGAACGTACCCAGAGAACGACAGCATGAGGGGTAGGCAACTCAAGAGTCCACGGCTGGAACCTTCACAAATTGCCTTTTTCCGTGCTGCCGATCCGAACTGGTACCCTGTGGCTATTGCGAGAAAAGGCTGGGGCTTTGGCAGGGGTGGGGACTTGCGCACTGAGCATGCTTATGGACATCGTTGGCCACAATGGAGTTGCTGTGGCGGTACTGACTTGGGTGGCCTGGGAAGTGCAAGAGTTAGTGAATTTACCCTTGTGAGACCAGGAGAGGCCAGAGCCCTACAGCAAAGCAGCAGGGTGGGGACATCGGCCGGCCCCTCCGTCCTGGCCCCTGGCTCCTGATTGGCTGAGCTCTGGCCATTGCGGCCACTTAAGGAGTGAAACAACGGACAAGATCTTTCTGTTTCCTTTCTGCCTGTTCTAATAAAAATACATCTTTAAATTTATTGGTATGTGAAAGGGACACACAGAGAAACAGTACTTCTATCCTTGGTTGAAATCCCCCAAATATGCACCACATCCATGGCAAAAAACAAAGAGAGACAGGAACTCAGTTTTGGTGTCATGTGGTGGCATGGACCCAGATAACTTGAGCCACTATTTGCTGACTCCCAGCATGTGTATTAGCAGGAAGCTGGCACTGGAATTGAACTTGGGTACTCTGATACGGGATGGGGGTATCCCCAGAGGTGTTGTCACTGACGTGCAAAACACCAGCCCCATACAGTTATTTACTAGGAAATTATGGAAAGCAGAAAGCCAGAGGTGGCATGTGTGAGAAAGTGATCCTGTCTGTCATGGTGCAATTCAGTGAAGTGATA